GCCAGCCTCAGCCGGCTCCTCTTCTGGGAGAGAGGTGTTAACAGCCCTCCAGGCTCTCTGTCCCTCTCCTCCCAGAAGCCTTCCTGGTTTCCATGCAAAGACTATCAGCACAAGCCCGGCCGGGGTGGCTCAGTGGCTGAGCGTTGACCAGCAGGTCACGGTTCCATTCCCTGTCAGGGCACATGCCCCGGTTATGGCTTATTCCCCAGTAGGGGGCGTGCCGGAGGCAGCAGATCAATGATTCTCATCATTGATGTTTCTCTCTCTCTCTCTCTCTCTCTCTCTCTCTCTCTCTCTCTCTCTCTCTCTCTCTTCCTCTCTGAAATCAATAAAGATTATCTTTTTTTTTTTAAATATATTTTATTGATTTTGTACAGAGAGGAAGGGAAAGAGATAGAGAGTTAGAAACATCGATGAGAGAGAGTCATCGATCAGCTGCCTCTTGCACACCCCCTACTGGGGATATGCCCGCAACCAAGGTACATGCCCTTGACCAGAATCGAACCCGGGAAATTTCAGTCCCCAAGCCGACGCTCTATCCATTGAGCCAAACCAGTTTCGGCTCTCTGAAATCAATAAAGATTATCTTATTCTTTAAGATAAAGAAAGTCAACCCAAGAACCAGGGCCCACCTCTGGGATGAGGACTTCTGGCCCCAGGTTCCGCCTCACCAGGCGCCGGGCCCAAAATAAATCATTTCATTAGAGTTAATGACCTAGTCCTTTCCACGGCAGCGTGTTTCCAAACAGAGGATCCTCCAGTCAGCTTTAATGAGCAGATAGGCATCTTTGTAATTAACTTGGCCACGGCTCGCATGCAAATGGGTAGGTATTCTTCTGGGCGACTATGTATTTATTGTTTGGAGTAGGGACTAACGGTGTCCGTGACCACCCCCCTCTCCAGCAAGCTCCCACCCAGCCAGCCCCTCTGAAGGTGACCCACGGGGATGGGCAGTGGGTGTCCTCTGCAGAGACCCTGGGCCCGCCAGAGCCAGAGTGCCACCTGCCTTTACTCCAGTCCACCGTCCTTCACTCACAACTCTGGACCTGCCTCCTCTCCTTCTCTACCCCCTTCCCCACCCACCCACCCCCCGCCCCCCGCCATGACCTCCGCCTTCCCTCCTGGTGGGAGGAGGGGCTGAGGGCTCTGCCCCACACTGTGGTCAGGCAATAGCTTCCTCCGGGTTTGACTGCATTGGAGGAGCGGGGCTCCAACTGCTGGTGTGCATGTGTGGGTGTGCCCCTGTGTGTGCATGTGTGCCTGCAGGGAGTGTAGGTGTGTATGCATGCATGCACACACACGCAAATGTGTGTAGGAGTGCCGTCTGTGGGCGCCTGCCCGCGTGAATGGGCAGGGTGCTCAGAGAGTGCCCGTGGAGGAAGCGTGCTCTGTGTGTGTGTGTGTGTGTGTGTGTGTCGGGAATGCGTGCATGGGCGCTGTGCTTGCCCCACCGCCCACAGCGCCCAGTCCCTCCCGTCTGATGAAGGCAGCACGCTGATCCCCGGGCGCGCTGGGTGCCTTGCTGTGTGTGTTCCTGGAGCAGGGTTTGCTGGATGGAGGTCATCCTGTGGCGCTGGCATCTCCGGAGATTTTCTGGAAATGCTGCCACAGCTGGCGTTCTCTGCACCCCCGCCTCCTCTCCCCTCCCTGGGGGCTGCGGTCCCTGCCCAGAGGGCAAACACAGACCAGCCCACCCCGGGCCTGCCCCTTCCCTGGATGTAGCTATCCCACAAGGGACCTGGAGTCTGGAACGGAGCCTGGAAAGGGAGGGGAAAGGCTGCGGAAGGAGGCCCCTGGACAGGCGTGTGGGAGGGAGGAGTCCCTGAACGGAGTCCCAGCCTCTGACCTTTCTGTGCTCTGGACGTCTCATCTATGAGATGGGATAGTGATTCCTCTCCCTAGGCGCTCGTTTGCAATACAGGTGCTGACACAGGGTAGGGGGGCCTCTTGGGGGCAGTCCTGGGACCCCCTTTTGTCGTGGTGACGTGTATGTTTTCACGAAGAGGACAACAAGCATCCAGAGCTGGGGACGCACTGGCGGAAGGTCACACAGCAAAGGCACAGTCAGATCCCAGGAGCCCCTGCCAGCCCGCTTAGGAAATGCCATCACTGCACGTGGGTTTCCTTCTGTGGCCTGTTTAGTGCGTTTTCCGTTTTCCCCACTCGGCTCAGGGAAGCCTTCTCTGCAGGGAACACATTGGAGGGGCTTGTGCTGCCTCCGGGCTGGCCGTGGGGAGCGGTGCAGGGGGCTGGGGCAGGCTCCTGGCTCTGCATCCGGCTCCGCCTTCGCCCTGGCTGTCTGAGGCGGCTCCCTGACCGGCAGGCTGATTCATGGCCCGGCTCCCCGGGTCCCAGAGCAGCCCTCTGTCAATAACTGTGCTTTATCAGACCCCTCGGTTCGTTCTCGGGGCTGAAGACAGATTTCCAAAGAGGAGCTCAGCGCCAGGGCCCTTCCAGAGGGGCCGTTAACTTAATGTCCCGCCGAATGCCCCCGCGCCCGCTCCCTCCTGAATGCGTGGGGGTCAGGCCTCGCCGATCCCAGCAATTGCCTCTGAGCCCTGCCCTCCGGACGGGGAGTGAGGAATGACGAGGCAGGGACACAAATCACAGGCCGGGCAGCCGGCTCCGTCAAGGTTGGCTGTGGGACTTAGGCCAGTGGTACCTGTGTGGGTCCTCATGTCCCTGTGTGTGAGCACCCGGATGCGGACAGGTACCGCGCTGGCGGCGCCCGCTGTCTCCCCTGGAGGGGAAGATCTGTGCTGGGCAGCAGCTCAAGTCTCCTCCCCGTCGTCCCCCTGGGGCAGCGGTCGGCAAACCGCGGCTCCCGAGCCACATGCGGCTCTTTGGCCCCTTGAATGTTCTAACGCCACTCCTTCAAAATAGACTCCCCCGGGCCATGGTATTTCGTGGAAGAGCCACACTCAAGGGGCCAAGAGCCGCATGTGGCTCTTGAGCCGTGGTGTGGCGACCACTGCCCCGGGGGAGGGGGGGGGGCTGTTAGCAGTTGGCAAAGTCCGCAGCTGAAAACCAGCCACGCACCAGCTCTCCATTCCCTCGGCGCTGGCCCTCATCCTTCCAGCTCAGCGTCTTCCTAACGGGGCCCCTTGCGCTTTCCATCCTTCCTTCCCCCAGGGAGAGGGGGATGATCTGAAGCTCGGGTCTGAGCCTGACTCCCAAATCTATGCTACCTCCCCCCACCCCCTCCGCACACACACACACATACATACACTCCCTCTGGCCTCCACACCTTTGCACAGATGTGTTGGTGTTGCCCTATCCCCAGGGACCCTGCTCCAGGCACGGGGCAAACATGTGCAGAGACCGGGAAGCCAGAGAAAGCTCTCGGCGTCAGGTCTGCAGCCTCTGGGCCTGCACACCCACCCCCCTCCCTTCCTGGAATGACCCTGGCCCCCCGTCCTCAGCAAATCCGGTTTGAAAATGCCTCCATCTCTCCGCTGTGCCCCGCCAACCCAGGGCACAGCTACCACGGAGCGCACGCGCCATCCCAGCTGGCCGTGGTCAGCTGACTTGCCCATTTTCCCTTCCACACTCCCCGGCAGGGCCTAGCACACAGTAGGAGCTTTCTGAATTGAATAAACAAATGGAACCACGCTCCAACCTCAGCACCAGCACCCCCTCTCATGCACATGCACCCAGGCTCCTTCCTCCCCGACTCACACCTGCGCCTCATCTCTCTGATTGTGACTGTCGCACTGATCACGTGGTAAGATGGCAGGGTATAGAAATCCCCAAGTGCGGGATGATGGGAAAGCCGTTTACAGTTTCTGTTTGGACTTCAGTCCGCAAACATTTGCTGACCACTTGCCGATTCTAGGCACCGTGGGCTCAGGGAGCCCCCGGAGGAGGTCCCCGCCAGGTCATCTGAGTAGCAGTGTCTGCTCTGGGGACTCGAGGACAGTACTTCTGCCCCGGCCATGGCTTCCCTGTAGCTTCCTCGTGCCCCTGAGCCATACCCACTCCTTGTTGGCAATCCTTCTTGGGCAGAGCTGGCCATTCTCTAGTCTTCCCTCAGGGCCACCCCTTACCTGAAAAGCCAACCTGAATGTGGCAAACTCCAGGCGTTGTCTGTGCCAGGAGCTTTGCTGCTGCTGGGCCGATTAGATACCCAATCCTCACGGCGCCCAGGGCTGCCCCTGCCGAGGAGCAGAGGCCTGTGGAAGGCAGGCGTCCTTCCCAGGTGCCGGCCGGTGCAGCTGTCCCGCCCCTGGTCCCTTCTGCCGGATGCTGGCTGCTGTGCCTCCTCCCCTCCCCGAGGTGGTTGCTGTAGCCTCCTCTCCAGGCGGGAGGCGGCCAGGCAGCCTTGGCCAGGCTCCCCCTCAGGTCAGGCACTCCTGCGCCCCCAGGGGCTGCTGCCATGCCAGAGATCGGTCTTGCAGGGCCAGCCAAGGCCCCTGTGGGAGGGGCTTACCCAACAGCCTTGGCTCTTGCCTTGGCTCCTGCCATGGGACCACCAAGCTTTCCCCAACCCATGGACAAGGGAGGCCACCCTGAGAGGCTGGGATGGGGATGGGGGTAGAGATGGGGATGGGCGTGGGGATGGGGGATGGGGATGGAGGTGGGAGGAGCCCCTCTGAGGGCAAGAGGGTGGGGGGCTGAAGGCTGTGGAAGAACTGACCAGCTCAGACTGCACTCCCACTTCTCTCCGGATTTGATTTCTCTGTTCCTTATCATCTCTGAGGCATCTCTCTGGAGGCCCCGAGGCTGGCCCCTCCCTCTGGAGCCACTCCTGGCAGACTCCTAGAGGTGGCCCCCTCTGCCAGGGCACTTTGCTGCCTCAGTAAGTCCTCCACCCAGCTCGGAGGTCTATGGGTCCTGGATGCCGGAGCGGGGAGAGCGGGCTGGCAGCGGGGCTCAGCAGTGTTTCTCTCTCACGTCATTTACTGTGCCCACGTGTGCATGTGTGAACACGCGTGTGTGGGGGGGGGTGAGTGTGCATGCGTGCACATAAAGCAGAGACACGGAGCCAGCCACCCTGCACGGTCTGTTGTCTGGGAGCTGCGGCCCCCACCTCCAATCTGGTCGCCTCCGTTTATTTAAGAAAAAACCCGACACAGTGGTGGTAGAACCCAAGAGAAAAGTGGCTGAGAGGCGGGGCAGGGAGACGCCCGGCTCCCTCGGCCTTGCCCATCCCCAGGTCCTTCCCAGCTCCCTCGGCGCCCCCCCCCCCCATTCCTACCGGATTCCGTTTCCTGGGGGGGTGCAGAGAAGGGAGCAGCGGCCAGCAGAGCTGGAGGGCTAAGGCGGAGTGCTGGCCTTGCTATGGGGGAGGCGGGCGGGCGGGCAGGGGTCTCCCTGGGCCCACCCAGACAGGGTGCTCCGGGCCGTGGCTTGGCCAGGGCTGGGCTGAGGACTCCTCCCCCTTCCGGCCACATCTGTAGCCCTTGGGGGCAGAGGAGGGAGTGCTGGGCTCTCAGGACGGTGCCTGGCTTGACCACAGACCCCTCCGGGGTCCCTCCCAGGTGCTAGGAGGTCCCGGAAAGCCAGAAGACGCTACACGTGTCCCCCAGCCCCCGCCGCCCCCCCCCCCCCCGCCCGAAGTCTTGTCCACAGCAAGATCCTGGGCAAGGGCAGGCAGCGGCAGCCTCCCCGCCCTGCAGGACAGAAATCCCTGAATAGTGGTTTGGAAAAAAAGTCTTTGTGCAGCTTGTGACACAAGACCCCACAGAACCCCCAGCACAGGGGGGTCCCGGGGGACGTGGGAGGCAGGGGCGCTCACAGTGGGGGCCCCCCCTGGCCTCGCTCCTGGGGCAGGCTGTCTCCGAGGGGAGGAGGGCTGGGAAAGGCAGGAGGGCTGGGCTCGCCTCCTCCCATCGAGCTCCCGAAGGCGCCGGCCACCTGTGAGGCAGCTGGAGGGAGCGGCACCTGCAGAGAGCGGAGCTGCAGGCCGGGGCCTTTAAGATCCACGTCGGCCGCCAGCCCACAATGACCATGCGCGCCGGGGTCCTGGCCGCGTCCCCCACGGAGCCCCCCCAACGGGAGACGGCGCCCCTACGCGATCTCTTTGTTCCTGCGCATGTAGTTGGGGGGCCTGGCGGGTCTCCCGGTGCTCGCCACGTCCGGGCAGCCCCAGCCCAGGTCCTCCTCGTCGTCCTCCTCCTCCTCGCCGGCGGGCACCGAGTCATAGGCCAGCTCCTCCGTGGGCAGCGTGGTGAAGGTGGTGAACTTGACCCGCTTGCGCTTGGACGTGGGCGAGCTGGCGGGGTCCTCGGCCTGGTCCCGGGCCGAGCCGCCCGAGGACCCGTCGCCCCGGCCGTGCACCTGGCTCTGCACGCTGGTCTGCGAGCTGCCGCTGCTGTGGTGGTCGCCGTGGCAGCAGGCGGGCACGGCCTCCAGGGGGTTGCCGCCCGCGGGCGGGGACAGCTCGCCCTGCGCCCGCAGCGGCTGCCCGTTGCCCAGGAACACCCAGTGGTGGGAGTGGTCCGTGCTGGTCTGGCCCTCGGGCGGGATGCGCTTGTGCCGGTAGCGCAGCACGAAGACCACGCAGTTGATGAGGAAGACCAGGATGGCGAGGCAGAAGACGCCCAGCAGCGCGTACATGCCGATCTCCAGGTCCGTCAGCCCGCGCGGCACCTGCTGGAAGCCCGTGGGCAGCGGCAGGAAGTCCTCGGTGGGCGGCGCGGCGGGGCTGGCGGTGGCCGGCGCCCCCGGAGCCTCCGGGGGGGACCTCCCGGTGCCCGGAGGAGGGCCGGCGCCCCTGGCTTCGTCCTCGCCCCCGCCCGGCCCCGGCGGCTGGCTGGGGCCCGGGTAGTCGTAGGTGGGGTCCTCCTCCTCCCGCCCGAAGTGCACCCGCAGGCCCACGGGCGCCGTGGCCAGCACGCTCTTGCGCTTGGTCTTCTGGCAGCTGTCGGCGATGGTGAGCTCCGCCCGGAGCAGCGGCCCGGCCCCCTCCGCCTCCGCCACCACCAGCGGGAAGGCCCGGTCCTGGGTCACCGTGGCCACCCGCTCGTCCAGGCTGCTCACCAGCAGCCCGTAGTCCCGGGGGCTGTAGAGGGAGAGGGGGGCGGTGGTGCCGTCGCTGTAGGAGAGCCAGAGGCTCAGGAGGGCTTCCTGGAGGAGGAGGAAGGGGAGGGGGAGAAGGGGAGAGGCGTCAGAGGCTAGTCCTGGCTGGCTTCCCCGTGGGAACAGCTTTGTGAGGGCAGGGACCGAGGTGTCTGGCTCCCGGCTGGACGTCCAGGGCTGGATGTGCCTGGCAGGTGGCAGGAGCTCAGGAATGATTGACTGGGAGGGTGTGAAGAGGGTCCAGGGCACACAGCAGCCTCCTGCTGCCTTGAGAATTCCTTTGCCCACCTCCCCGTTCCCCCCTAGATGAGCTAAAGGGAAGTTCTGCCTTGGGTCTCCCTCAAGTCCCTTTTGCTGCGGGAGTCACCCCACTTCTCCACGCCTGCCCTTGCAATCACCCCCTTCAGACAATCACTTGGAGACTGAGCATACACGCCCAACCCCAGTCTCCCCAGTTGGTTACACCGGTCTCCCTGCCGAGGGGGAAGCAGGGCCCAGAGAGAGGGGATTGGCCTGGGGTCAGGGAGCAAGTGGAGGCAGACAGCTTCTGGCTCCGGACTCCTGGCTTGGTGCTCAGCACCCACCTTCTCATTCCCTAGGCTTCCGCCCGTCACCTTCCCGCCTTTGCCTGTAGCCAGTGTCCTGGCATTTCGGGGTTGGGGTGGGTGGTGGGCTGCAGTTGGAGCTCCAGAAATAGGTAAGCGTAATTCCGGGGGGTACCGGCAGAGGTGATGGGCCCTCAGAGAATTTGGGGCGGGGAGGGGGCGGTCAGGTGCAGAAAGCGAGACCTTGGCCAGACCCCCTGGGCAGACGGCAGGGGGTGGGGTGGAGCAGGCACACGGGGCATGGAGGGTCCATAGATCTTCCATTGCCTAAAGCCCTAATTTGGGGGGACTCATGGCACAAGGGCAAGCCAGAGCCCGCGGGCCCTCCTTCTACACTCCGAGCCCCAGGCTGGTGGGCTGGGCATCCAGTTACCTGCTTGAGGAAGCTGAGGGTCTGCTGGGCGGCAGCGGTGGCCAGGATGGTGTGGCTGCTCCCGGGGCTGGGCCGTAGGGAGAGGGAGAGGCTGGCCACCACCTGGGCCTGCAGCTGGGTGATGCTGACCTTCTCCTCTGTCACTGTCAGCAGTGTCTCCCCGAGCACAGACTCTGTCAGCGGGGACACCACCTGGGGCAGAGACGGGCAGGGGTGGGTGAAGGCCAGGACAGCAGCACCCCCAGGATCACCCATTGGGGGTGTCCGGGTGCCACTGGAAGGGAGGTCCAGGGGGTGGGCAGGCTGGGAGGCTCTGCCTTAGGTTTGCACCTGGAAACCAGGGTCCAGGGGTTCCTGGGGGGGGGGGGAGGGAAGGAGGAGAAGGTGTGGGCCTTGCAGGAGCACAGATGAGAGAGATGGGCAGATGTAAAGGAAAACAATAGGCCTGCACAAGAGCAATAATAGCAATCGATGTTCCATCCTCTGTGTGAGGGAGACGAAAGGGAGTGGTGGGGACTGGGGCAACGGGGAGGGCTCATGCTCCCGGAAAGGGGGCACCAGTATTGACACTAACAGCGTATTGCCAGGAGGGAAGGCAGGCCCCATGCTGCCAGATTTACGTTTTGTAAAACCAGAAACCTGGTCTTCTACACAATGAGAAGCACCCTGACTGGTTCGGTTCAGTGGCTAGAGGGTCATCCTTCGGACTGAAGAGCCCCAGGTTCGATTCCAGTCAAGGGCATGTATCCTGGTTGCGGGCACATCCCCAGTAGGGGTTGTGCAGGAGGCAGCTGATGGATGTCTCTTTCTCATCGATGTTTCTGTCTCTCTGTCCCTCTCCCTTCCTCTCTGTAAAAATCCAATAAAAATGCATTTAAAAAATAAACAGCCGAAACCGGTTTGGCTCAGTGGATAGAGCGTCGGCCTGTGGACTGAAAGGTCCCAGGTTCGATTCCGATCAAGGGCATGTACCTTGGTTGCGGGCACATCCCCAGCAGGGGGTGTGCAAGAGGCAGTTGATCGATGATTCTCTCTCATCGATGTTTCTAACTCTCTATCCCTCTCTCTTCCATTCTGTAAAAAAGAGCAATAAAATATATTTTAAAATAAATGAATAAATAAATAAATAAATAAATAAACAAACATAAACAATGAGAAGCTTTCCAATTTTCAAATGTCGGATCAACCAACCGTTTTTACCAACAACTATCCTGCGAGCTGATCCCAGCCCCAGGGTCCCTGTTCGCCATCTCCCAGGTGGAGGGTTTCTACTCAGGCAGCTGTCAGGGAGGTCAGAGCTGCGTTCCGAGCTCCTGAACTCCCTCTCCTGGCCGCCAGCTGCCCGAGCCTCACCCACACCTGTCTCAGCGACCACGCGGTGATGCAAGGTTGACAGTACTGGTGAGGCTTGGAGGGAGACCGTCACCAGGTGAAGCTAAAGGACCTTGGCCTCTGATGGCGGAACCCCAGGCAGAGGGGCAGGCAGGGAAGAAAATAAGTTTTGGGGGCCGGCGGGGATTGCTTCCGGAATCCCGAGGCATCCTGGGATTCCTTTCCGAAGAACGTCTGCATCCTCTGCCCACGGGTAAACAGGGCTCCTGGCGCTGCCCTGGTGCCTACCTTGAAGGGGGTGGTGCCCGGCTCCAGGCCTGCCAGCGTGCTGCTGTCCACCAGGCGTGCCACGCGGGGGTCGCCCACCCGCATGAAGTCGCTGACCAGGTCGGTGACCTCCACCAGCCAGTCCGGGCCCAGCATGGTGACCACCTGGTCGGTGCCCTCGGACGAGGTGGTGTGGAACTGGGTGAAGACCTGCAGGGTGGTGTGCTGGTACTGCAGGGTGCAGCCGCGGCTGCTGCTCTGCCGCCGCTCTTCGTCCTCCTCGTCCTCGTCCTCGCTCTCCCGGGCTGACCTGGGGGGCGGGGGGCACAGGATCAGGGCTCCTCACCCTGGCCGCGGCCTGCACATGCCCGTCTCCCTCCCCTGGGCCTGCCAGCCGTTCTCCGGCTCCCGCGGATGGCAGTGTGCAAACAGCAAGCCTTGTCCCTGGCTCCCTCCTGCTCCTGACGAGCGTGGAGCTGGGAGACCCAGGCTCTTCCCTCCTGGAAAGGCGCCTTCCTGGCCCCCCCGGCCCCTCTCCGCCTCCGCTTGGCTTCCCCCGCGCCTGCGGAAAGCTGGCGTCAAATCCTGACCTCTTTTCAGCACTGAGCCTGTGCCTGGCCCTGCTCTCCGCTCTGTGCCGGGGCAAAGGCGGTCCCCGTTACGGAGTGCCAGGCGCGGGGCTGGCTCGTCCTACGCTGCATGGCAAACAGAACCTGTAAGTGATCAACCTGGATGTTTAGCTGCGCTTCACAAGCCAAGTGTTGAAGAGGCGGCTTGGGTTTCTCTTTTTCTCTTGCTGTTCATAGTGAAGTGCAAAAAAGCAGAGAGAAAGCCGAAACCGGTTTGGCTCAGTGCATAGAGCGTCAGCCTGTGGACTGAAGGGTCCCAGGTTCGATTCCGGTCAAGGGCATGTACCTTGGTTGTGGGCACATCACCAGTGGGGGGGGTGAAGGAGGCAGCTGATGGATGTTTCTCTCTCATCGATGTTTCTGACTCTCTATCCCTCTATCTTCCTCTCTGTAAAAAAGCAATAAAATATATATATATATATATATATATATATATATATATATATATATATATATTTGTTTTTAAAGAGAGAGAAAAACGGAGGAAGAACTGGTGAGCAAAGGGACCCAGGACGTGATGATTTGGGGAATTCTCAGCCTACTCAGAATTACCCAGAATGCAAACCGCAGGAGAGTCACCGGTGAGGCGTGCGGCTCCTGCTTTGCTAGTGCGTAGAAGAATCGAGCACTAGAATATTCACCCATACAGAGTGCTTTTGCCCGTTAACAAAGCCGCCCTCACCACAGCCGTGTGCGGTAGGTGTCCGTGTGCCGGTGTTACAGAGGAGGAGAGGGCGGCGTGGAGAGGCTGTGGGCACGGCCCCCGGCTGCCCAGCTGCAGAGTTTACTGCGTCCTCACTGCTCATAGCAGCAGCAGCACCACCCAGGAGCTGGTCCAAACACCTGTGCCCTGGGCAGGACCCGCAGGCGAGCGCGTGCTCATTCACGTCTGAGAGGCTCTGGTCCACCCGGCCTTGCTTTCCCAAATCCTGCAGACTTAACTGAGCCCAACTCTCACTCGGCGCCTGCTCCTCCTCCTAGCCCCCCCCCCCTCCACTCCTCCCTGCTGGCTTTTCTCTCTAGCAGCCAGGGTGGGTGAGTGGGGTGGGCTGAGTGCAGGTGTCCATGCCCTGCAACTGGGTACTCAGGTGTGTGAGTTAGTGTGTGCCCAGCTGATGTGCCTACACATGTGCCTCGGCGTGCCCAGGCTGGGGCACGTATGTACAGCCGTGTGTGCTCCATTTTGTCGGCTGTTGGACTGGTCTCTCACCCTGTTCCCCAGACAACCCCTTTCCACTCATCCTTTTAGACTTGGCTTAAGAGTCACCTCTTCCGGGAAGCCTGCCTTGACTTTTCCCAGAGGAAGAGGTGGTTCTCCCCTTTGTGCCACTCAATTCCCTGCTTTTGGCATCCGCCGTGCTCTGTGGCCTATACATGATGGCTTCCCTGGTGGACCCAGAACCTGGCTGAGGAAGGCACTGGCCACACTCATCTCTCATCACAAGCACCCGCCAGTGCCTGGCACACAGCAGCTGCTCAGTAAACGCTGGCTGATTGCATAACCGACCCGCAGACCGTGCACACCGAGGCCCTTACGCACACACGCAGATCAGACTGCGTGCCAGGGCCGTGTCCCCCGCGAGTGTCCCGCGTGTCTGCCGTGCGCAGAGGGGCTGTACCTCCGGTCGGGGAGGATGGGTACCCTCCAGCCCTTCACTTGGCTGAGGCGGGCGTCCGAGAGCTCGATGTGCAGGGGCAGCTTGGGGACCCAGACTGTCATTTCCAGGGGCGCAGTGAGGGCGTCGTAGCGGAAGGTGACCCTGGCATTCATAGACCCGCGAGACTCCTTTCCGCTAACAAACACGTAGTCGCAGCTGCTGGATACCTGGGGAGGGGAGGGAGGTGGGTTGGCACGTCTTGCCCTACAGGTCATCCTGCGGGGCAGTGCCGGAGCTGCCGGCTGACAAGCAGGGCCAGAGGCTGTTGGAGAGAGAAAGTACCAGTCAAATGAGGCTGAAGGAGCGGGGGAGGGGGGGAAGGCACCTCCTAATTTAATTCCTCTGGGAGGTGCCAGCTTCTGTGTCCCCGTCTCCATCCTGGTTTCCAGAGACCATCTCTCGGGGGCTACTGAGGGAGGCGTTTGCCTCCCAGCCAGGAGCCAACAGGCAAATGCTTTTACCAGGGGCAGCTTCTGGGGCACCAGATCACACCTCGGAGGAGCCTTCGGGCTGAGGGTCCTGGGGACCAGCTCTCCTCACCAGCATGACTCCCTGGGCAGGGTCTGGCAGGGGGAGACCTTCGCTGTACCGAAGAGCAGCCTGTCCAGATTTAGACGCAGGTGCTCCACTGAGCAAGGCGGAGGTCAAGTATGTGTGTGTGTGTGGGGGGGGTGAAGGGCAGGACTTGGCTCCTCCTGGTTCCCCGCCCCTCCCCCCCCCCCCCCCCCCCAATCAGCAGTCCCAGGAAAACAGGCTCTGGTTATTTCAGGCGAGGGGGCTGCTCTAGCCTGGGGTGGGAGTGAGGGAAGGAGAGAGGAAAAAAAATCAGGACCAGCAGACCTCAAGCCCAGCCCGGTGGATGATTGCCACCACTGGCTGCAGCTTTTGCAAATGCATGCCCATCTGGTTTGCATAACCGACCAACTTGCGTCTTAGAGCTTCCCCCCCCCCCCCCCCCCGACGGGCATGTGCCTACTGAGCACATCTGGGGGGTGGATCCCTGTGCCCACTCGCAGAGGTCCTTCAGGACAGAGGCAGACGGTGAACGGTTGCATGCGCCCACACGCACACCTGGGCGGAACGCCGGGTGCACTGTATTTAGGTGCTCCAGCTGGCGCGTGCCCGTGGGCGCACATCCTCACGTGGGGATGCGGCCTGCGGGCTGATCACACCCTGAAGGCTCTGGTGGGGGGCGGGGCGGGGCGGGGCTTGGGGCTCATTGGCGGAGGTGAGCCCGGGGCGTCCCAAACTCCTGCTAGCTCTCCTTGCCGTCTCAGGGGGGCGGGAGGGGGCCGTGGAGCCGCAGCCCTGCCAGAGATGCTCATTTCCCACTTCGGGAGGCAGAGCATCCCGTCCGAAGGCTGGCAGATCCCACTTAGAATACTGGCGAACTCCATAAGGAACCCGAGTGTATCTCACTGAGGACAGAAACGAGTTCCATTTAAGAATCGTCGATAATTCCCTTCGGCTTCTCAGCCATCGCGACTCTGTTCTGGTCCCTCGGGGGCTGGGGTGGCCGTGTCTGGGCGTCGGGAAAGATGCTGGGCGCTTGGGAGCAGGCCCATGTCTTCCCGCGCCCGCTGCCAGCAGGGGAGGGCCCCTCGGGCCTGGCCAAGGCTTCTACTCCCAGGAGGTGATGGGAGTGGGGGACCAGTCCAAAGATGGACAGGAACAGGGAACAGATTCTGGAGTCGAATCGTTTGAGTTGGGCAACTGCTGGAGGCTGGCACAGCACACAGCTGGTCGTGGCTGGTCATCCTCCCGCATTACTGCCCCCTCTGCTGCCCCTGGCCGCTAGCCAAGGCCAGGGGGAGGGGCAAACCCGGAGGCCCTCCTGGGGAGGTGGCAATGGGGCCATTCGAGTCAGATCGATGCCCTTTTTGCTAGGCCATGGAGGGCATAGGGCTCAGAGGGGGGGTCTCTGGGGAGGAGCTCAGGGAGGGGCCGTTGGAAGCTGAAGGAGGTTGCGGGGGGGGGGGGGGGTGCCCAGAGTGGGTCCTTCCTGATACAACCCTCACTCCTGGCCTAACTCACATGCTTCTCTGGAAGCTTCTTCCCTGTGCTGGATCTGCCAGTATCCAGGCTCAGAGCATGTCTCTGAGGCCCCCCGCCCCTGCCCCTCACTGCCTTGCCCAGTGTCTGCCACACATCAGGGGCTCCGTAACCACTTGCCAGATTGGAGTGAGTTCCAGTTGTAATGCTGCCTTCTCCCCATGGTCTGCCAAACAGGCTCTTCTCCATTCCTACAGGCAGCCCTCCAGGACTGGCAGGGCAGTCCCCAGGGCTTCCCTCACCCCACTCAGGCCGAACGAGGGATGCCCACAGCTCTTCCCCACCCCTGCTCCCGACTTCAAGTCTCCTTGCTTGCCACGGGAACCTGCATGGATGTGACTTCCCCTCTGGCGTGGGGCTCCCCTCCCCTTGAAGGTCTAAGGCCTTCTTCCCAGCCCCCCCTCCAGGAAGCTCACCTTGATGATGTCCTCATTGTCAGACTCACATTCCACCATGGCAGAGACATCCAGGACAAGGCCGGTCACTTCGATGGCAATGACCTTGACAGGGATGGCTACCGTCCGGCCGGTCAGGATGGCCGTGTTGATGATCTCGGTGTCCTGTGGGGAGGAGAGGAGGGTGGAGCTCTGCTGAGCCTGATGTTTGCAGATCCCTCTTCCACTGGGACACGCCACCCAAGGCCCCGGCTCCTGACTGCCCCCACTTCGCAGGTGAGCACCCTCCCACGGGGACACCTGTGCACATGTACAGGGAGGTGCATCCACCCAGCCTGGCACCTCCTCAGATGCTCAGCTCGCTTGGTCTTCTGCAGTAGCGAACACGGTCTACCTCCCTCTGCTGCCCAAAACCAACCATTCCCAAGTCCCCTCCCACCTTCTCTCAGCGTCTTCCACGCTCCCCATCCCCAGGACTCACCGAGGGAAGTCCGACACCTGTGCCTGGCCATTCAGGGTGCTCCTGGGCTGGCCCCAGCCCATGATTCCAGCTTATCACCCATCATTCCAGCTTATCACCCATCATTCCAGCTTATCACTCTCACGCACTCTTCCTAAAGCCATGGCTCCCTTCGACCGACCACTCCCATTCCCATCATGCACCTTCCGCCTCCACGCTCCCCTGACCAAAGCTCCCCCTCATCTTCTCCGATTGTCTGAGCCCTTCCCCCACACGGCCTTCAAGGTTCAACTGCACGGCCACCTCCTCCAGGAAACACCCCCCGAATGGTCCCTCCCTGGGTGACTTCTCCCACCTCTGTCCCCCTCAGCATCCGCTGTCCCACTCCAGCACCAGGCAGAGTGCTGCTGCTGCCTGGGAGTGCATGTACACACACACACTCACACACACACACACACACACACACGTTTACATGTGCACACCTGGGTTCAGGAGGCAATCGTACACGCAGACACTGACTCACACACGCATGTGCACTGACCGCCATGCACACGGAGCCGTGCACGTTCCCGTCACACATGCATCCAGGACAGACGCGCGCGCCCACCGGCCCGGCCACCTGCCCCGCTCACCATGGCCAGGGGCAGGATGGCCTGCACATCCCGCTGGATGACCGTCAGCTCGGTGACCGCCCGCTCCAGGTCGGGCAGCGCGCCGTGCCCGCGGTAGTCAATGTGCCACATGATCCTCCGCTTGACCGACTGGCTGGTGAAGTTCTCCATCTCAAAGTCCAGCTGCAGGATCTCCAGGGGCCCCTGGCCCTCCCTGCCGGGGCAGGAAGGAGGGAGAGCCGGAGAGGAAGGGCTGGGAGCAGCACCGGGGCCCTGGAACCCCAGCCCCCCTCGGCAGCCTGCCCCCTGAGGCCCTCCGAGCCTTCTCCAGCCTTCCGAGGTGCCCCGCCTGGACTCAGAGGGCCCCCCCCCCCCCCGCCACAAACTAAGCCCCAGCCCTTCCACAAGCCTGGCCTCCTCCACCAAGAACTCTCCCATCCTCAGGGGCCCGTCCCTCGGCTCACCACGGGGGCAGGGGTGTGCCCTGGGCCCAGGCCACATCCACGGTGGCTGTTGAGTGCTTTGCCCCCGTCAGCAGCTCCGAGGTCACATGCCACTGGCCACTCCGTGACTTGGTGCCTAAAAGGGTCACGCCCTTCTTGGCCTTCACCCTGGGACAAAGAGGGAGGAAGGAGGAGGAGAGAGTCGGCCTGGGGCCCAACGATTGCCCACCTGGTCATGGTCCCTAGGAGGAGCAGGTGAGTAAGTCACCCTGGGCCCCAGACTCAAAGCTGAGACTTTTCTGGGGAGTATGGTATCGTAGCTACAGCCCCTGACCCCCAGTGGAAGCTGCAGTCAGCTCCGCCCCATCTCTGTAAGCCTTTCCCTGCCTCTCCTTACACGCCTTCGCGACAGGGGTCTCGTTGCTTCTCAGGGAGCCCCTAAGGGTTAGAACCCCTTCCCTCTGTTTAGCGGAAATATGACAACAGACAACTCTGCTCTTGGCTGCAGAAGTTCTTCAGGAAGCTGGGAAGGGGAGCAGTTTCTGCGTTTTTTTTTCCTCCGGGCCCGACATCTCTAGTTCCTCCAATCACTGCTTTCACCAGAGTTTCAAGTCCCTCATATCCCAGTCACCCGCCTCAGGACATTGAGCATACATGGTGCAGTGTCCCATACTACGTGCAATACTTCCGCCCTGCTCTCAGGAATGCCGTCTGGAGTAGAATGGTTATCACCTCCCTCATTCTGCATGCTCTACTCCTGTTAATGCAGCCCAAGATCTCTCTGGTGACTGACTTAACGCCCATTCACATTCAGGTATCAATCACTGAATCGGTATGATCCTTTCCTGAAATATCTGAACTTTAAGCACACTCAGGAGAGTGGGCGATGCTTAAAGAAGCCAGAAGCTAACGGTCATGTTCCAGGTCCTATTTTTGGGGTAGGAGGGGGCGTTTTTGGTGGGGCCTTTCCTAAGAATCATCTGACGTGGCTCAAACCACGGATTCCATCATTATGTTTTGTGGGGATGTGATACTATCTAAGGCATTTCTGAATGGTGAGCCATATCCTCCTCAGGGTACAGACAGAGCTGAATCTTCTGAAGCTTTCTCCCGACTCTAGGCCTGGGCAGATGTCCACACACACACACACACACACACACACACACACACACACACACTTCTTTTCGCTCCCAGCAGGGAGCTGCTCCCTGGTCTCCATTTCCCCGCTTTGACCTCAGTCTCCTCATCTGTGAAATGGGAGGTTTGGGCCAGCTAATGCCTAAGGGTCCTTCCAGCCCCAGCTCTATCCTTTTGGACGTCCATGCTTGGGAAAGCGGGCATTTCTCCTTCACCGGGATGCCGTTTCTGCGAGAGACGGAGACAGGGCAGGGGTGTCTGCGGCCGTTAGACAGATGAGACCACGGAGGCCCAAACAAGTGACGTGTCTTCCTGAGGCCGATCGGGTGATAGATGGAGGAGCCGGGATGAGGATGCTGGATGGGCAGGCTGGGCGAGCCCCTGCAGGGGGGAGCCGGACCCTGACCCCTCAGCCGCGCCTACCTGAGTGTGAAGTGCTCCACGCTGGGGCTGGGCGGGGAGGAGGCGTTGGGGGCCAGGTAGAGGAGGATGCTGAGCACCTCCCCGGGCTTGAGGGGCCGGTCGGGCAGGCGGATCATCAGGTTGCTGTCCAGCCGGTGCTCCTGCAGGGCCCTCCGGGGGGGCGGGCGGAACAGGCTGATGCTCCCGATGCGCAGCAGCGGGTGCTGGGTGGGGCTCTCCGCCCGGGCCCCCGCCCCCGCCCCAGCCCCGGCCCCGCGCCGGGCGCCCCCGCAGCCCCCGGAGGCGTCGGGGGCGTGGAGAGTGTAGTACAGCTCGGCCTGCTGGCTCTCCCCCGTCAGCTCGGGCTCCGGCCCCTCCGGAGGCTTGCGACGGGCGGCGGGCGGCGCGGCCGGGGCGGGGGGCCCGAACCAGGCCAGGGGCAGCTCCGCCCGCACCAGGCAGGTGGCCAGCGCCCCGCCCAGGCGGCAGGAGCTCTTGACCTCCCGGGCGTCCCGGAAGGCGTGCAGCCGGACGCAGGGCAGCCGCTCGGCGGCGCCGAAGTCGTCCCAGTCCCGGCCGGCCACGTAGAACAGCACCTGGGCCGCAGGCTGCGAGGCGGGCACGCGGGCGCGCACGATGAAGGCCCGCACCTTCCAGTTGACGGTGAGGCGCCCGGGGACGTCCAGGGTGCTGGACGGCTGCAGGAGCTCCCGGGCCACCGCCTGGCTGGTGCTGAAGGGCCCCAGGGACACGTTGAGGACGGGCAGCTCCTTGGTCTGGAACACCACGAAGGGCTCGGAGCGCTGCAGGGAGCCGTTGGCGGGCGCGGGCGGCGGCGGCGGCCGCGCCTCCCGCAGGAAGAAGGCCAGCCGCGTGTGGGACAGCCGGTAGCTGATGGGCAGCACCGGGCCGGCCTGGGGCCCCGGCGGGCTGGGGCTGGCTGGGTGGGCGCGGCCGGAGGCTGGGGACAGACAGAAGAAAGACCCCACGGTGGTCAGGAGAGGCTGTGCTCGGACCCCAGGGCACTCCGGTCTGCCACGCTCACGCAGGGCCATCCACTCCCCCGGGTGTGTGTGTGTGTGTGTGTGTGTGTGTGTGTGTGGAAGGGCAGCGCTCAGCCTGGCTCTAGGTCCTGGGGGGCGGGGAGGGGAGGGCCAGGGCCAGGTTGCCCAGGCTCTAAGCTCGGCCCCACCTTTGCAGGTACGTTCATTCCCTCTCTGAGCTGCCCCCCTGGCCTGGTGCGGGCTCCATTTCTTCATCTGCCACGTGGGGGTCAAGCTAATTCCCGCGCAGAGCATCTCGGCGCTTTACAGAGGCTTTATCGCCGAAACCGGTGTGGCTCAGTGGATAGAGCGCCAGCCTACGGACTAAAGGGTTCCGGTTCGAATATGGTCAAAGGCACATCCCCCCCAGTGGGGGGTGTGCAGGAGGCAGCTGATCGATGTTCTCTCTCAAACGTTTCTGACTCTATCCCTCTCTCTTCCTCTCTGTAAAAAAAAATCAATAAAATAAAATATTTAAAAATTAAAAAAAAATTTAAAAAGAGGCTTTATCCCCCTGCATCCTCGTGTGAAACGAGGATAACATGTTTTTGCCTCCAGGAGCGGCTCCGAGGACTTCCTGAAGTCGTGGGCACGAGGGCGGAGGGAGGTGCCAGTGTGAACTCTCACCATTATCGCCTCGCTGAGGGCTCAGCCGCATTAGCTTAGTTGATCCTCAGATCAATCCCCTGAGCAAATATGATTACAATCCCCATTGACTGAACCGGTTTCCGTCAATAACTTCTCTTTTTTGAAAGCCTACTTTTACATCGTACGGATAAAGGTGCGAGACACTTCAGTAACTTATCCCCGAACCCGGGGCCGCCTGACCCTCCGACCCAAGCCCTTCCCTGGCCCAGTGGCCTCAGATGGTGTGGGTTCCCTGGGACCCCGTACTCCGTACACCTCCCACACCCCATAGATACAGGGAATTCGATCCTCAGTCTCCAAACCCAAATGTCTGACCTCTCCCTCCTCTCAGACCCCTCCCCTCATCCTCCCAGGAGCCGCCAGGTTTCAGCAATTCTACCTCTTTAAAAAAAAAAACAAAAAAAAACCATTTCTTTTATTGATTATAGAGAGGAAGGGAGAAGGAGAGAGAGGCAGAAACATCAATGATGAGAGAAACTCATTGATTGGCTGCCTCTTGCGTGCCTCCTACGGGGGATTGAGCCTGCAACCCAGGCATGCGCCCCTGGCCGGAATCGAACCTGGGACCCTTCAGTTTGCAGGTCGATACTCCACTAGGGCGCAATTCCACCTCGTAACTCGCTGGTATGTCCCAGACTAACCCCTGTCTCCCGTCTGGCTTCACTCCAATACTCCCTCCATTCCCAGAATGGGGTTCCCAGGCCCCCCTGCCCCCCTCTGCGGCCTGCAGGGCGTGCCGCTGTGGAGGGTGGGGTGGAGGTGGGCAGCTGGATGCCAAATGAGGACAGGAAGTTGTTTGGCAGGGCAGGTCCCTGGGACCCCGGCCCGCAGTTACCCCTAGAGGCTCTGAGGAGGTGGCCCTGCCGCCTGGCACGAGGCTGGCCCCAAGGCGCATGTGGGAGCCCAGGATGAGGGTCGGAGCCAGGGACCAGCAGCCGACAAGCTGCTTTGGAAGCAGCAGGAAGCAGCAAGCAGCCAGAGGCCTGGGGAGGACGCAGGTCCGAGGCTCCTTGCTGCACTCAGTGAGCAGGTTGCTTCCATGTGGAGCCTCGGTTTTCAGCTCTAACACTGAGGTGGTGACATCAGCCCCCTCACAGGGGGCCAGCGGACAGGGTGGGGGTGGGGAATCAGACCACTGGCCCCGCCTCACTGAGCTTCCGCCTGAGACCTCAGAGCCTGCTAAGTGGCACATAGTCCCCTTTGACCCTCTTACCGGCCCGACCTCATGGCTGGCCATCTGGACCCCTTGGCGGCATGGCGGGGGCAGGGGCCACCAGCTGGGCAGCGGACTCGGAGGGGCGCTGAGGGAGGAATTGGAGAGATGTGTCTGCGCCCAGAGGAGCCTGGACGGCCTCTGAGGGAAGGGCTGCCGGCACGGGGCTCTGCCAGCAACCTTGACCATAAGGAGACTGCGATTCGAGAAGGGGCAGTGACTTGTCGTAAGAAAACAGCCAGCTTTCAGAAAGGGGAGCAGACAAGATGGCACTGGGGCACAACCGTGCTAGTGCTTATGTAGCAGGGTGGGGGGTCCTGCCATCTTTTCATGACCTGCCCAGGCATCACCTCCTCCCTGAAGCCTTCCCTCAGGCCTCTCCCTGCCTCCACCTGGGTATTCCCTGGGTGGTGTGCTGCTGCTGCTGTGCTCTGTCCAGCTCTGGTTCCGCCTGACCAGGAGCTCCGAACCGGTGTGCGTGCGAGACGCAAAGGATCCCATCAGTGACTTCTGCCAATGTTCCCTGGGGGCAGGGTGCTGGCCCCAGTGCCCCTTGGCCAGTGCTGACAGAAGTCTCTCCAGCCACTTCCAACACCAGGAGGCATGGAGCTGTCTATGCGTTTGTCTTCCCAGCTGGGTTAGGGTAGGGGCAGACACTGGGTCTGGGCCCGCTTTGCACAGTACGTGGGGTGGCACACAGTAGGTACTTAGCAAATGTCCATTCTACCCTCTGACGGGGCCAGGGGCTGGACAGAGGCACTCCCTGATGGTCTCAGGCTGGCCCAGGTCTCTGGGAGCACAGCATGGGTCTTTGGCCACCTCCCCCAGAAGCCAGTGCCCGCCCCCCCCCCCCTTATCCCCCAACATTGAATATATAAATTCATCTGCCTGGAGGTGAGGGCCAGGCGGGGGAGAGGTGGGGTGCCTCTGGCCATCTCCCTGGTTCTAATCAAGATCAGATGCCTCCTACGTCTACCTCTAATTGTCCCGAAATTAAAACTAATCGCTTGCAAATCAGAGAAGAAAAAAAAGATTGTCATTAGCTTTGATGAATTTGAGGCTAAAGGGCACAGCAGGGCGGCCAGCAGGATCCGAGGGGGCTGAGCTGTGTGTGTGTGTGTGTGTGTGTGTGTGAGCACTACACCAGATGTCAGTGCTTGGGGATCCTTCCCCACTTGCTCCTGAACTTGCCTGCATGTAAGAATCAGCCGGAACACACAACACAACAAAAGCCAATGGATTCTTGGGCCAGAACCAGGCTCACGGTCAATGGCAGGTGAAAGACCTGGTGATTTGTATGCTTATCCAGCATCCCGGGCCTGTGATCATCACAGAAGTTTGGAAAACTCAGGGCTAAGCAGGAAGGGTTGGGAGATACCGAAGAGGCTGCGGCCGATAGTGAATGATCGATTGCCCGGAGCCTAGACCCGTGCCCCTGCCAAACCTATAAATGAATGGGAGAGAGGATGCAGGTGGTGAGGAGCCTAGGGGCCACGTGGTCCATGACCAAGAGGCCAGGGATGGGCTGTGCCCAGAGACCCCTCCCAACCCAGACCTCCAGGCCTGCAGGAGGGGCGTGGCCATCGGGGAGGCCCCTGACCCCGGAGACCTGCAGTGGGGGGAGCCCTCTAAGGGGACAGGGAAGAGGCTCTCAGAGGCAGGCTGCCCGTGCCCCAGGCCTGCCTTTCCTCGGCTGGTCCGTGCACCTGACCTAGGCCGAGTACGTCTCCTTCTGTTCTCCGGGTCCCCATCCTCCCTCGCAAAATGGGGGATTATCGTCCAATATACCAGTCACCGCCGAGCGGAAAACCTCTGGCTTGAGAGAGGTCCTTGTTTCTGTGGGTTTGTGTGTGTGTTTGTTTTCCATTGGTAACACCCAGGGTTAGGACAGCTTTAAGAAGTGGGTGCTCATGCTTCCTCCTTCCCAGCTGGAGGGTAAGCTGGGCACGGCTTCCGCAGCACAAAATATGACCGACGGGCCTGGAAACTGTTTCTTTTTGCCCCTAAAACTCCCCCTTGGGAATCTAATAAGCAGAAATCAGCCCAAAGATTTACCCAGGAAGATATTCACCGCAATGACATGTTTATTAGTAAAAAAAAAAAAATTAGAAATGAATGCCCGGAAGCAGGGAATGGTCCAATAAAAGCGAACACCTAAGAATGGGTGTATGCAGCCATTACAGACTGAGGTTGGTTTAAAAACACACACACACACACACACACACACACACAAAAAAAAAAAACACACAAAAAACACAAAAAACAATTTACTCAGAATGGCAAATAGTTTGAACTAAACGCAGGGTGCAGAACTGGCAATACTGCATGCTCCCAATTTTATATATAAAAAAAATGCAGACTCTGGGGGAAATACATCAAAATGCTAATGGGGTTGTCTCTGGGGGGTGAGGATTATGGGAGATTGTTATTTTTTGCTTTATGTTTTTATGTATTTTCCAGGCGTCTGTGGTGAACATGGACGGCTTATAAAATTAGAGGGGAAACAATAAATGTCATTAAAAATGAAGGGAAATGTTTGAAGTTGTTCCGAGAATTAGAAAAACACACACAAGAGAACAAGAGAATAAATTTAAAAGACAGATTGAGAGAAAGAGAGAGAGAGAGAGAGAGAGAGAGAGAGAGAGAGAGAGAGAGAGAGAGAGAGAGAGAGAGAAGGAAGAATCTGTGTGGTTTGGGAGCCACAACAGCAATCAAACGAATGCCACTTTCGTGCTGTGTAACCTTGGGCAAGTTACTTAACCTCTCTGACCCTGGATATAATCTATCGCATAGAATGGTCCCGGCTACACAGGCAAACTGCTGGGTGTGGTTTCCGGTATAGAGTCGGCCCCCGTGCTCATTCATTCACTCACTTCACTCTTCCTGGTCGTCTCGTTCTGCGAGGAGGAAGGGCTGAGCTGTTTTTCTCCAGCACCTGCCTTGTTTCGCTTCCGGCAGGTCCACTGTCAAGGTCGGTTACGTGAAATGGGACAAATGCAGGGATGACAGGCACTCAACGCAGACCATCCCTAGGACCGTGCAAGCGGCACCGACGCT